CTGCTTGAGCAGCAGCGGCAGCGGCAAAAGCAGAAGCTCGGCCACAAATCAGATCCGCTTCCCCCCGTCATGAGCACCCTCCGCTTGTGGGACCCGCTGCGAGCCGGCAGCTCCGAGGTGGACTGGTGCGAAGATAACTACACAATAGTGCCCACGATAGCCGAGTTCTACAACACGGTGCGTATCCAGCGCTGCGCGCGCGCGGAGCCACCCCTAGGCACGTCTCAGGGGCTTCCTGTGTCTGCAGGGCACTGGCATTTAGCTGTGTCTCTTGTGACTTGCAGTGCCTAAGGACATGTCTGTAAAATATGCCTGAGGAACTCCATACATAGCCTTGGCCCAGATGCAAATAATAGTGCCTCTTGTCAGCGCGGCTGTGTCTAGACTGCAGGCTTCTTTCGAAAGAGCCTCTTTCGAAAGATCGCGTCTAGACTGCAGGCGGATCTTTCGATAGAGGAAATCCGCTTTTTCGAAAGAGAGCACCCAGCGAGTCTGGATGCTCTCTTTCGAAGACGGCCTCTTTACATTGAAGAACGCCTTCCTTCGAAAGAGGAACTTTCGAAGGAAGGCGTTCTTCCTCGTGAAACGAGGTTTACCGCCATCGAAAGAAAAGCCGCGTTCTTTCGAAATAATTTCGAAAGAACGCGGCTTGAGTCTGGATGCAGGGGAAGTTCTTTCGAAAAAAGGGTACTTTTTTCGAAAGAACCCCTGACCTGAGTGTGGACACGGCCTCTGTGTTTGCTAATTGAATAGAAACAGTATCCGCATATAGCAAAAATGCCATCCTCTTCTTGCTTTTGTATTTCTTAGGTTTTTAAGCTTTGATTTCAAAGCAGTTCAAAGGAACTTAGATCTCCTGCTATCCTAGCTGGGGAAAATAGCAACCGTCTCTCAAGCTTTCCCTTGCCTTTTTGCACACAGGGCCAAAATAAGCTGCATGTGACAGTGTTGGTATTTGATTGCATTAAGGCTGTGATGTTATTATCCCCTTGCATGACAAGTTAATCAGTTTTCCCATAGTGTCATTTGAGGTGTGGGGAGGGAAGCTTCTTTTGTGATCTGGTTTCACTTGTTTACTTTTTATTTTGTTTCACCATCATATTAGGCCAACATGTTTTATTTTAATGGAACTTTAAAACATTTTCATTTTAAAATGAACTGGAGAATTTTAAAGAAGGCTGATCAGAAATTGACTGAAAATGTTTCTGATCCTAATTCTGTGTATTTCTTTTAAATCAACAATAAATACAAAAGGCCAATTTTCTGTCTCATTGATGCTGGATTTACTAGAGTAACTTTGACTTCATTAGAGCTACCCCGGATTTTTACCAGCATAAATGAGATCATAATGGGACCCAAATATTAAACAAAATATAAAACGGATGTTTATCTCTACCAACTCCCAATGACATGTCTTCAGTTATTATAAAACTTAAAAAACAACGAATAGTCTAGCACAATGGTCACCAACCAGTAGGTCAGGATCTACTGGTAGATCTTGGAGCCTCAGACAGGTGATCCTGACTGGTTTGGCCAGGAAGCTATCAGGCGCTGGCCCTTCAGTTGCACCTTTACGCACTGTCATGCTGCTCCTGCTCTCTGCCATGGAGCTGCCCCGGTGGGAGCCTCCTGCTTGTTGTGTAGGGTGTGGAAGGGAGAAGAGGAGGGTGCTGATGTCAGGGTGTCCCTCCTTCCCCCACTCCTGTATCTTATCCCCACACAGAGAGAGGGGGATGGAGGGAGCTTGGTAATGCAAATCTCTGTCACTCTCACACACTGTGTGTCTCTGTCATTCTCACAAATACCAACTGTCCTTCACTCTCATCTCCCGACCCAACACATATGTGGGAGGTGGTTGTTACTACTTTTACTGCTTGCAAAGTTTGTTAGTTTTGGTTTTGACTGGACTGTGCATTTCATAATTTTCATTTCTCTCTCATGCTTAAATTTCATTCTTTGAGTAGTGAGTTCTAAAATGCCTAACCTGGATGGAGTAATTATCCCTGTGGTAATTGCTGCTCCTGGAAATGCCTGAGAAAGGCAGAGCAGGGGATCTCCTTGCCTGCAGACACCACTCCTGCAGCTCCCATTGATCACTAACAGGAAGCTATGGTCAGTAGAAACTGTGGGGTGAGTGCCTGTGGATGAGGGGCAGCACATGATGCCATGGAGCTATTGCTGTACATGCCAGCTGATTTCAGGAATGGTGCAGGGCCAGAGCAGGAGTAAACCTGCCTTAACCCCACTGCTCCACCACCCGGAAGCCATCTGCATCCTGAATCCCTGTCCCAGTCCTGAACTCCTTCCTGCACCTAACCTCCTGCCCCAGACATGAGTTCCCCTCCTCCCCCCGCACCCAAACTCCTTCCTAGAGCTTGCACCCTGAACCCCCTCCTGGACCCTAATCCCCCTCCCTGGGCTAAGTCCAGAGTCCCTCCCACACTCTGAACCCTTTAGCCCAAGACCCGAGCCTGCACCCCAGCCCTACCGTAGTCTGGTGAAAGTGAATGAAGATTGGGGATGGAGTGAGCAGGGTGAGGCCTTGGAGAAGGACTTTCTTTTGGAAACAATATGCCTGGACTAGTAGCCTTTGCACTGGAGTAAAGTGAACACAATGTTGTACATGGAATAACTAAATATTGCTGCTGTTGAGAAAAAATGCTCCCCTGCTCCTTTCTCAACCACCCATTGAGCTGAATAAATGTTCAGCTCTGTAATCGCGGTTTCTTGTGAATCAAATTTTAGGGCTGGTATGTGGGTTTATCTCTATTAAAAAATGTTTAATGTAGTAAATTGTTGGATTTATAGTTTTCTCAGAGCTCAACTGATTTGAGTCTAGGGATGGAAGAATGAGGAGAAAATTTCTTTTGATTCAGGTTATCTACATTTTATCAAAAAGGTCATCATCAAATGAGAATGAAGTGACTGAAAGAGAAGAAATCAGAAAAAGCTTCTGCACGATGTACGAGAAACACTTTAGCTCGTTACTTTTTTGCTGCTGTTCCCCTCTTTTTTGAGTTTAAAATCATTTGTGAAATTTATTTTGAGGACCACCCTATGTGTCTCATAGTGATATCATTAAAATTCACTGGCTGCGTCTAGACTGGCAAGTTTTTCCGCAAAAGCAACTGCTTTTCCGGAAAAACTTGCCAGTTGTCTACACTGGCCACTTGAATTTCCGCAAGATCACTGACTTTCTACTGTCTGAAATCAGTGCTTCTTGCGGAAATGCTATGCTGCTCCCGTTCGGGCAAAAGCCCTCTTGCGCAAATGCTTTTGCGCAAGAGGGCCAGTGTAGACAATGCGGTATTGTTTTGCGCAAAAAGCCCCGATTGCGAAAATGGCGATTGGGGCTTTCTTGCGCAAAACCGCGTCTAGATTGGCAAAAGTGCTTTTGCGGAAAAGCGTCCGTGTCAATCTAGACGCTCTTTTCCTCAAATGCTTTTAACGGAAAACTTTTCTGTTAAAAGCATTTGCGGAAAATCATGCCAGTTTAGACACAGCCATACTGACTAGGTTCAAGTTCATCTCTATTGGCATCCAGGCTTTTGGATTAATTCAACTATTTAAGTTAGGGATGCGATTTCTTTATTTTATTTTTAATGTTTTTTTACTGAAGTAGTTACACTGTTACAATCCCTTGTTTGAATACAATTAAACCAGTGTAAAGCTGCCTTCCACTGATGCAGTTTATTTTTTTATCCTCTTCCTGTCTGGGAATAACTTTATACTAGTATAATTGCATTCACTGTGGGATAAAGGAGCATTGTAGAGCTTCAGAGTTTTGTCTGGAAAGTGGGATCCTGCAATTTCTGTGGAGGGCGTCTTTCAATTTTAATGGGCAGTCATGCATGAAGGCCTGGCAGGATGGTCCCCTGAGTTTCCCTGACTCTTTTCCTCCCACTTTACTGTCTTTTGGGGTTTCTCAAGCCCATCCTTCTAAAAATTGCCTAGCTCTTCCTCTTTGTCTCTTCTTTTTTCTGTCCCCCTTCTCCCCTCTGGTTATCAAATGAATGTAGCACTATTGTCTCTTCTTTTTTCTGTCCCCCTTCTCCCCTCTGGTTATCGAATGTAGCACTACACCCGTAGGTCAAAATAAGATACACAATTTGCATAGCTCAAATCGCCTGTATCTTCTTTTGATCTAATTTCAAAATTAAGCGCTATGCCAGAACGTTCCTTAACCATGTTGGAACAAGGGTTACAGGGATGCCAGAATAGTGCGTCCGTTATTTTGAAATCTGTTTTGAAATAATGGGCACTTTTAAAGATGCGGAATAGCTATTTTGGGATACTTCCACTATCCCAAAATAGCGCTGCTGTCTGGACAAAGCCTTACAGAAGTACATTTAAACACTGAACCCTCTGCTGAGCGAATTAGTGAGGCGGACTATGTGATTAGCCTGTGTCTTTTTTTCTTGCTGACTCCACATTTTAGAGGGGGGAAAACAGCAAACCCCACAGTTGAGCCTGCATTGCTGGTGCTGAGTTTTCCTTAGTACCGCTATCATGAGTTTATCTGGTGAACAGTTAACCGGTAAGCATCAGCCTTACCAGGTGACACTTACTGAGTAATTGGTTAACTGGTGCCTGGGAACAACCCCACAAGTGGGGATCAGGGGCAGGAACCTGGGAGCAGCCCTGTGTGAGGAGGGGGGACAAGGGGTGGGACCCCGAGAGTAGCCCCACGTGGAGAGCAGGGCAGGGCCACTGTAGGGCGGAGAGCCAGGAGTCCTGCAGGCTGGGTACTGCTCCAGCTGTACTGGAGTGGTCCCTTGCCTGGGATCCCACTTAATCGGTTAACTGGTTAAACCTAACATTTAAGTGGTTAACTGATTAAATGGGATTTTACATGCCTGTTTTGAATAGGCTTGGATCAGGCCCTCAAAATACTATAGCAGAATCCGCATCTGAAAAGGCTAGATATTATTTACCTCTCAGGCTAGGTCTACATTATGGGAGAAAGTCAACCTAAGATATACAACTCCAGCTACTTGAATAATGTAGCTGGAGTTGACATACCTGAGAATGAATTTCCGCAGCACCCCATTGTGAGAGGTTGATGGGAGAAACTTTCCCATTAAGTTCCCTTGCTCCTTGTGCCCTGGTGGAATATTGAGGTTGATGGGGCTGCCATCAGCAATTGATTTAGAGGGTCCTTACTAGACCCCCTAAATCAAACCCCAGGAAATCGATCTCCAGAGGGTCGATCTCCCAGTAAGTGGAGACAAGCCCTCAGCAAAGATTTAACAGTATAGTCCTGTAGTCATAGGACAAAGGCTTTGTCTGAACACAAAATTTACAAGTTACCTAAAGATATTTTTAAAATTTAGGTAGACTGATGCAAATCAGGTAGACACTCGTAAATTAATTTTAAAATCTGGTTATGTAGATTGGATGGAGCTCAGAATAAGTCACTGGCAGTCCTCCAGACAGGTTGCTTACTTTGCATCCACAGGTATGGCCACTTGCAGCTCCCATTGGTTGTGGTTCACAGTTCCCAGCCAATGGGAGCTGTGGGAAGTGCACAGGCGACAAGGGACTTGCTGGCCACCACTTCCCTCGGTTCCCATTGGATGGGAATGGTATACCACAACCAATGGGAGCTGCAAGTGTCCGTACCTGCGAACGGAAGGTAAGCAGATGTCTGGCGGCTCATCAGGGGTCTACCCTGACAAGTCATATAGGGCCCTAAGAGATGCAACAGTGTTACCCAGCCCAGGTGCTTCCCCTCTTCCTCTAAGGAAGAACCACATGATCTGTACCCAGGCAGTTTCACAAATTTTCATGCAAGGCTCCCTTACTCATTTAAAAAGAAGATGCTACCAGCTAAGATCCTTGTTATTAACCTCTAGTCATTATATACTTTTTGAATTGCAATGCTGTGAATATTTGATAATGTGTGTGTGTAATCCCAGAGATGTTGCTCCTGGGATTGATTTATAAGGTATATTAAGGAAGGGATCATCTACATTATACATTGTTCCCAATCCTGATGGAATTAAATTAAACATTTCTCAAAGTAAAGACCTCTACTGCAGAACCTGGGTCAACTTTGAAAAAAAAGAAGGACATATGAGCTTTTGTTGCATCTGACCATGCAACAAATGTGATTTTCTAGATGGTTTTAAACAGCATACAAACTTTAAAGGTGTGTTTTGTTTTCCCCCTTTATTTGATACAGTTTATTTTTTTTCTAGATAAGCAACATCTTGTTTTTTGTTTTACCGCCCATATGTATGTGCTTATTTCGTCAATATGCAACCTGTTTCAACAGTGGAATATACTTAATATGGACTCTGCTAGTTGTTGTTGGTAAGTTGATTAATGTTTGTGTGCGTCGGGTCATGCACGAACTGTAAGGGAGGAAATTAGGTTATTTTCATGCCCACATATCATGTTGCTGAAATATAACGCAACCCCTGACATCTAGACTAGTGAGCAGTTTTCTTGAACTTGTTACCGAAGCACATGCACTTTCACAAAAGAAAATGTACTGCGACAAGAGCTGAGGACATTTAGCATCATTCAGGAAGAGTTCAGGATCCTTTGGACTGTAACATGCTGATCATTTTCTCCATAGAAGTGCATATTTACCCGTTTTATGTACAGAAAATCATTTAATATTTCCATTGTCAGCAACAATGGAAGATTTTGAAATACTACATAGATGGGGTGCAGAATTATCATGCAGGTGGCATGGCTCTGTAGAAGAGCATGGGATTTTCCACCTAGAAATCATGTGAAGGTGTAGCCACCACCTGCTTCTACCCTTGTCCGACTTTCTCACTGTCTGGGAGGGTAAATCTCTATGTTTTTAGAAGAAACACTGGACATTTTCGTGGTGGAGGTGGTTTTTTTTTAATAATAATGTGTCCATTTCAATTAATAGTGATACCCTGATGTGCTGTTTCATTTACCTAAGCTCCATCTTGCTATTTGGAGATGATATTTGTCCCTTTCACACATGGATTTTCTGTTGTGCTGTTTTTAAGTTTTTCTCCCATTTCCAGACTGACAAAGAATGTACTAGAAGGCCCATTGTTAATGGGGATGTAATATTATAGCCATTTAAACCAGGGGTGGGCAATAATTTTTAATGGAGGGGCACTCCAAGATTATGGTAAGTAGCCAAGGACCACACTTTTGTGGAGGGGGCGTGGGTTCTTGGACTGCAGCTGGGGTGCAGAAGGGAGCTTGGGATAGAGGACTGAGGTGCAGAAGGGAGTGTGGGGTCTGAGAGGAAGTTTGGGTGAAAGAGGGGCTTATGATCTGGGGCAGGGGTGAAGGGTCCAGGAGACGATTCTGGCCTGGAGCAGGGGTGTAGCAGGGATGCAGGGTCTGGGAAGGAGTTGTGACCTGGGGAAAGGGTGCAGAGGGTTTTGGTGGTAATGTGGGGTAGAGGAATGGGGTTGCAGGGTCAGGGAGGGGTATGTATGCCGGAAAGGATTCTGGCAGGGTCTGGGAGGGAGTTTTGACCTGGAGGAGGTGGGGAGAGGGGATACAGAGGGTTTGAGGGGTGGCCTGGGGCAGGTGGATGGGGGAAAAGAGGGGTTGGGGTGCCAGAGACAGGCTCTGGTTGGGAGGTGCTTATCTAGGCATCTCCCAGCCAGCAGCTCTGCAGGAACCTGAGCTTCCTTGCTTGTGTTCTGGGCAGCAGCTGCTTATTATGGTTCTGCTCCAGCACAGGGAGGATTGACGAGGGAGGGTGAGGAGGCTTCATTCACTGCCCCAGCCTTTAGCAAAATTTCTCAGCTCCTAATGGCAGGAAACTGGCCAATGGGAGCTGAAGGATTTTGCTAGGGGGTAGGGACAGCATACAAAGCTTTTTCCTCCCTGCCCAGGCTGTGTAGCAATTAGCAATCTGCTGTTTAAAGTGGCTGCAGCTGCTGTGTAGCAGGGGAGCCGGGGTGTTGTGTAGCAGGGTAGCCGGCGAGGTAGCTGCGGGCCGGATCCAGCCCATTAACCCCCTCTTACCCACCTCTGCTTTATACACTGAACCAGTAAGCATGAGTATATCGGTCACAGTAACAGTCACTCTCCAGCTCTTGGCCTCACTCCTTGGGATCGGGGCCAGGAGTGGGGCTGGGAGCGGTACACAATGGGAGCCAGCTTAAGTCAGCACCTGGCACCACACACTGGCTCCTGAGGAGTCAGCTGCCACCCCTTGCTGGCAGCCCAGGGTGGGATCTGATACACACTGGGAGACAGCTTAAAAGCACTTCCTGGCAGGCATTGGCTGCTGGCCCCGCTCCTGGGGAGCCGGCTCCGCTGTGGGCTCTGCAGTATAAGCTTCATATTGCAGAGCCCGCAGCACAGGGCAACAGACAGCTCCCCAGGAGCCCATGCGTGCTGGGGGCCGGCTTAAAAGTGCTTTGCAGTATAAGCTTTATAGATGCTACGATTTTCAGCAGTTACACGGTTACCTACTTAACCACTTTTTAACATCCCCAATTGTGAAGCAGCACATTTTATTACCATACACTACTGAAACTATTCATACTGGCTCTCTCATTGATTCATCCAGGAATTGGATCTGTCTATTTCCATGCGACACTCAGTTTCCTGGGTCAGATGCTAGATGAGCTGGCTATTCTTTGGGTCCTGATGTGTGCTCTGGCCATGTGGTTCCCCAGAAGATATCTACCAAAGGTTTTTCGAAATGACAGGTAATATGTGTGTATGTAGTGTCGTTGTAGCTATCACAGAGACAAGGTGAGTGCGTTAATGAGTTTTATTGGATCAACTTCTGTTGTTAGGGGAGAGACAAGCTCTCCAGCTTTAGAGTTCTTTAGGCCTGGGAAAGACACTTGGACTGTCATAGCAAAATATAAAATGGAATAAATTGTTTAATGCATATGTCAAGGAACTATTCAAGATGAATAACATCTCTAATGTCATGCAGGGGAGGTGGGAAAGGGTGGTCAGTAGAGGGGTTAAATGGACTATAGATTGTTGAAATAGGCCATAAATCCAGCATCCCTATTCAGTTCATGATTTTTAGTATCTAGCAAAGTTATGACTTTAAGCTTGCAGTCTTGTCTTTTGAAGGTGTCATGCAGGTTTCCTTTGAGGATGGGTACTGGGAGGTCCTATATAGAATTACTGGTTGGTGAAAAGTGACCATCAACAGGGGGTAGAGTGTTTTTGTCTTTTATAGTCACAGAGAGGTAGCCGTGTTAGTCTGATCTTGGTAAAACAAACAAGCCCAGTCATGTAGCACTTTAAAGACTAACAAGATAGTTTATTAGTTTATCACCTAATGAACTATCTTGTTAGTCTTTAATGTGCTAGATGACTGCTTTTTTTGTTTTGTCTTTTATAATATTTCTGTGTGAGCTCATTTAAATAAAGATTCTTTCGTTCACATAGTTCTTCCTGGACATTTAGTGAACTGGATGAGGGGCACAGCATGTGATAGCTAGTGTAGGATCTATAGCTCTTGAAAGATGTGTTATAGGTTGACAGCAGTGGAGATATGCATTGACTGGAGGCTCTGGATTTATGGCTTATTACCACAGTCTATAAAGAGGCAGCAGCACGAGGGACATGTGGCTTCCCCTCGTGCTGCTGCCTCTTTCTCGGGGCAAGGGGGAGGGGCACGTGAGAGCTGGTGATCGCAGGGAGCTGGCTTAAAAGCTGGCTTCCCGAGAGCACTGGCTCCTGCCTGCCCTCCCACCCCATGTAAACGTGTAACCACTAAAAATTTTAAGTGGTTACATATTTACACAAAAACACAATAGTAAACATCCCGGCTGCGTCTAAACTGGCAAGTTTTTGCGCAAAAGCAGCTGCTTTTGTGGAAAAACTTGCCAGCTGTCTACACTGGCCGCTTGAATTTCCGCAAGATCACTGATGATCTCATGTAAGAAATCAGTGCTTCTTGCGGAAATACTATGCTGCTCCTGTTCGGGCAAAAGTCCTTTTGCGCAAAGCTTTTGCGCAAAAGGGCCAGTGTAGACAGCTCAGCTTTGTTTTGCGCAAAAAAGCCCCGATCATGAAAATGCCAATCGGGGCTTTCTTGCGCAAAACCGCGTCTAGATTGGCACAGACGCTTTTCTGCAAAAAGTGCTTTTGTGGAAAAGCATCTGTGCCAATCTAGACGCTCTTTTCCGCAAATGCTTTTAATGGAAAACTTTTCCGTTAAAAGCATTTGCGGAAAATCATGCCAGTCTAGCCCCCTAGTACAAAGTATGTCTTATGAGTTTTTAAATGATATCTCACAGTTTGCTTGTTGTTGTTGTCCTGGTAAAATGTGTGGCAATGTGAAGTTATAAGATTCCACTGTATGGTGTTGTTAACACATGCTGTCAAACTGGTCTGCTCTACATAAAAGAATCTGTGCTCTACTTAATTAGTGTTTAAATAGTAAACAAAGAAAGCTCCCATGGGGTGAGGAAAAAAGCAGCAGAGAACATCCTGCCACACAGACTGCCTTACTCCCGGCTGGAAATCTCCAGAAAGGAGAGACAGGACTATAAAAGGAAAAAGAAAAAGATATTTGGAAAAATATCCCAAAGGAGCACCTCCCATCGATTCATTGCATGTGAAGGGACAAAAGAAGCAGCCACTGGGTTGGGTAGGGGTCCTGACCCAAGAGACTTTGTCAGTAGTAGAGATGTTAAATATCAGTTAATTGAATAATCAGGTAACCGCATGAATTCTTATCGGTCAGTCAACTATTCTATAGTACCCAGGGGCGGGTACTGGGTACCTGTATCAGAGGCAGCAGTGGGGGGTGCCAGGTGGGAGTTGTTCTGTGAGGGGAACTGAGCCGGGCTGCCTGCCAACCTAGCTCCTAATATACTTTAAATGCAGAGCCGCAGCAGGGGAAGGTCCCAGATCTGTCGCAAGCCAGGACTGAACCAGGTTGCTGGCCCAGCCTGCTAAAAAATTTACTGGGGCGGGGGGGGGGGGAAGGGAGGAAAATGCATGTAGTCTATAGCATTAACCTATAAGCTTTTGCTTATTGGTTAATCGACCACACTATTACATCCCTAGTCAGTAGGACTGATGAAAGCATGTGGTGAGAAAACTTTAAACTCTTAAATTCAAAGTTAGGCATCATAGTCTTTTATCTTTTTTTTATTGTAACTATGTCTGGCTTTTTATGCCTCATTACTTGTACTCACTTAAAATCTATATTTGTAATTGATAAATTTGGGGTTGTTTTATCTAAACGAGTGTGTTTAAAATGAAGTATCTGGAAAACTCTATTTGGGAGCAATGAGTTGTGTGTACATTATCCTTCTGAAGAAATAGTAGACCTAATATAACCTCTATTGTCCAGAGGGGACTGGGCAGTACTGAACATACATTTCTGGTGGGAAATCTGGTGAGAGCCAGAGTTTGGCTGGCAGGCTGCAATTATACCCAAATGCTTGGGGTATGTCTTCCATGCTAGAAGGCTGTTGTGAGTGGCTTGGGTAAGAGCTGCATCAGAAAGGCATTTTGACACACTCAGTGCTCCAGGCAAGGGTGGTAAAGATGTTTATTGATTGTAGTCCGCTATGTCACACATCCCCATTTTTTTCCTTTTCCCTCTGTGCCTAGGGAGGTGCTAATTAGGGATGTCAGATCCTTTTTAATTAGTTAGCCGGTTAAACCCGTGGTCACCAATTGCGATTGACTGGTCGATTATGAGGGCTTGACCAGTTGATCGCGAGGCGTTCAGGGCCCCCCCCTCCAATTTTCCCCCATCCCCAAGAAGCCCCATTGGCTACCTCCAGCGACAATGGCAGTAGCACCGGCTTCCTGCGGGGTGGATGGAAGTGTGGCAGCTTCACGCCACTTCCCGGCAGGGGCAGATGAGAATTTTGTGGGGTCCAGGGCAGCACAATTTCGCGGGGCCCCCCCTTTGACACGGCACATGCGCAGTGGCACCACACACATGTACGGGGCTTCCGACCCTGTGCTGGGCTGAGTCAGCAGCCTTGTGCGGTGTCAGAAATGGGAGGGGGAGAGGGTGGGGGAGGGCAGGCTGGGAGACAGCTCAGGTCTGTGGTGTGCCGGGAACTTGCAGG